ATATATATGTATATACATATATATATGGGGCATTCCATCCCAAGTGTGTCATCCATGAATTTTTGAATTTTTAATTTGGCTGAAATTTTTATATATTATAGTACCCATCGGAAGAAGTTACTATGATTGTTTCAAATTTTTTTGAAATAACTGGCAATAACGTTGCTGCAATACCCGTAAAAGCCATCGTACATACATGTTTATTACGAATTTTGGCTAAGTGATATATAGTTGTATATGTAAATGTTTTACCTGAACCACCTGGACCATCAATATAAAAACAATTATTATTGTTATTATTATTTTCTAATCTGTTTAATACAAGATCGACTATTTCTTTCTGTTTGTCATTTAACTGTTCATATTGTCTGGTACTAACTTCTATAAATTCTTCAAGAGTTATTAAATAATCTTCTATCTCAAAATTTTCTGTTAACTGTTCCATTTATAGAAAATCGGCGAAACTTTTATCTTCAGTAGACAGCATAGCGCCGATTAGTGCGTAAGCTTTTCGTTGTCCTTGCAACACACCAAAGTGTCGTACGTAATCTTCCGATATTGCTACTTTAAAATTTTCCCAAAGTTCATCAGGATGGTTGACAATGTAATAATATTCGAACACATAGTCTACGAAGTTGTCTTGGCATCATCCATTCAACAGCTTCATTCATAGCTTGTACCCATTCGTCATCATCTTCAATTAAATCTAAAGCTAAACATGCTGCTGAAAATGATTGACATATTTCTCCATTTACTGTTCTTAAATCATTAAAACTCGTAACTCCCTTTACAGTGAGTAACAATAGTCGTAAATGAAATAATTTTGTTTATGTTGGACTAATGGAATACATTCCTATACAATTATAATGACTTTTGCGTTTGACCCAACGCGATACGTTTCTTCCATTAATTTTCTCTTTTTTAAACGTATAATAGCGTGGAATTTCTACATGTAAATACTGTTTTGCTTCTCCATCACGAGAATTTAATGACAAATAATCAGTTAACATTGTAACTTGATTTAAAACAGAAGTCATTGCTTCTTCAATAGCTTCATTTTCAATTATAACGTTTTGTTCGTTAGGGAGATGCACAGGTAAACATACAATAGTCTGGCTTTTAGTTTCTTTTCTCTTGTAGTTTCTTTTCAAGTATGCGCCAACTTGCTTCTACAAGTCCAACATAACGAGTGTCTATAAAATTACGTATCTCATAAGGATTAATAATTACATCTTCCGTCACTGGTTCAATTGTTATAGCAGCAACGTCGTCTCCCTTTTAAATATATTTATACAGATATTTAACCGATTTAATACTTGAAACTACTTCAACATTTATGTGACAATTAAAAATAATTGATAACATAGGACAATACGGAACTACATAACGATTATCAATTATATATCCACCAGGACGTTCAAAACTTCTGCTATTATTTCGTCGACGGTAATAAGGATAAGAGTCTTCATCCATTCCAGTCTCTTCAAGATACGGTTTAAAATAATGTTTCAAACATTTTCAAACATGATCCATGGATCATATGTTTCATAACTATATCATGTAAAGTATGATTTTCACAAGGATCAGGAACTTCAGCAGAAATATATTTGTCAACAATCTGTGGAGTTGTTATTTTAAAATTATACTTTAAAGTAATTAACATGTGAATATGTGGCAAACCACATTGAGTTTTTGAAATTCAATAACATATACAAAGGCTGCTACTTCTCCACAAAATTTTTGTTTAACAATTAAATCAATTGAATAATCTTTTTTAATATTAAAAACACAAGCACAAATATCTGGTGTATCAGAAGCTTGTTGACCATGTAAAAGATTTTTTTCAATTTCACTCCATTTTGAATTACAAGTCATTGTAATAAAAAGATCTGGTTTACCAAATTTACTAACAATTGCCATTGCATCTTGATAATTTTATAACATATTACGTGGTGAGCCTATAAATGTAGAAGGAAGTACAACCATTTCTCCAATACGTCCATTTAAATTATTTGCCGTATTTTATAGATAATCTCTTATACCTTGATATGTTTCAGTACGTAATTCTTTTTGATGATCTTTACAATAATTTATTCTATCTTTTTCAATTTTTACATAATTGTCTACAAGCTATTGTTGAAATAATCGACGACCTAATAAAAATATGTTAAATTCATCACGAATAGCCATGCGATATTTAATATACTGTTACACCGTGGATAGGGTGTAACGGGAGAGACTCGTTGTAATAGGTTGTAGAAAAGATTTACTCGGTGATGTTGTCACTTCATACGACTTTATTTTAAGTACTAATCTTACAACTTAATCACTCGCGTAATACACCGACAGCATAACGTACTATGTACAATGAAATTAGGAACTCCGCAGTGGTCCGCTGGACGGCAGGTTTTATCCCGTCTCAAGTGGGCACTGCTCAGCAATTGCAATTGCAACGACTGCAGTTTTTGAAGGACGCACGTATTGAGGTTGCCGAAGTCCTGCTCGGCAGTCCTCAATTATTATGGGTTACC